AACCACAGTTAGCCTTACTGGATAAAAGGGAAGGTCATGGTTTTGTTGGCAGTTGAGAAAGGCTCAAAACTTCTCCAGAACAGTCCTGCTCATGTATCACACTTTAAGTGAGAACTGAAAAAGCAGCATTACATGATTACAAAATGAGAAAGGTTTCAGTAACGTTTTTTTTTTCCCACAAATAAAATTTTAAATAAGTGAACGAAGGTTTTCAGGATTATGCATATCATTACTTATTAATCTGTTTTTGTTTGACCTGCGTTTGATTGTTGCGTAGTACTGTTTTATTACTTGTTGTTTACATTTTAAAAAGTTAATAAATGACCTTTGAAAAGAGGAAATGGAAACATTGGTGGGTATGTTCACTTTGGACAAGCCATCTCATAGACACGAAACACACGCTTTTTAATTATTATACATTTCATTTGTAATTTGTCATTATTGAAATGTATCAACCCCCACACATCTATCTTTATTCAAGCATGTGAGACCTTTTGTTGTGATCAGATCTGTGAATGTGAAGACAAGTTGTGTTCCCTTGTGCAAGGAATTTTTCTCTCATGTTCGGAAAATAGAAACGATCAGGAAGCACAGTGAGGCTTTCTCACCAGTTTTAAATGCTTTTCACATGTGGTTGTTTGATGATTGTAAATTGTTTCAAGCAGATCCAAACTAAAACATTACAACAACCTCTGTCACAATGTGCAGGGATTTAATGAATACTGAAAAAATAACAAACCCTCAAATCAATAGTTATAGTTATGTCCTTTTTTTAAAAAAATAATGTCACATTGTTTATTAGATAGATTGTCTAAAGAAGTTTAAAGCGCTCAGCAAGGAAGAAAAAAGGCAACTGGCCCTTTTAAGCCCAACAAGCTAAATCATGAACAAAGCTAATCTTTAAGCAGCTGAGACGAGGAGTTTGAACTTTTACTGAGCAACTAACTACCTGGCCTTCCTCTCACAAACACACACACACTTACCCCTGCAGTAAACACTGCTGCATTGCCACTCTCCAACATCTCCTCCAGTTCATCATCTGTTGTTGCTTTCCCAGCTGGATAAGGAAAGGAAAGGAAATGTATAGTGTTAATGACTTGAGCGAGCGTGAGACTCTCTGGTCACATGTGTAAAGAGATAACTCACTGATTTCTAGCTGTCTCTGAATACGTCCTTTACTCCTCTCTCTGAAGTCCACCTGGGCTTCATTATACTTTGTCATTACCTCCACAAACTTCCTTGACAGCACAGCATGCTGGGCGAAAAAAAAAAACGAAAAAAGAACAAATTAGTACAGAGGTAATCCGGATGAGATACTGGTAGAGATATGAACATACTTTTAAAGGCTGTCAAATGTCAAAGATACAATCTCGAGCGAAAAATAAATGTTTCTAATAATGATGAAAAGATGTTTAAAAGATGTTACATTTGAAGATGCAGTGTGGTTTTAAAGGTGCACTGTTTCATTATCAGAATAAAAAAAAATTAAATACACATGAGCTTTTACATTTTCATCCAGTCCTCTTTTTATTAACCTTCACAGTATCATGAACATAGTGCAGATCTCTAGTATTCATACAGAGCTTTTTTGCAGTTCCTTTATCAGAACATGATCATTCCAATCATTCCAATGAACACTGCCCTTTGAGTTTCAGGAAAATGGAAAATGTTTTCCCAGAATAATAACTGATGAGAGCGCACACTCATTCTCCTTTAAAAAGTATTCTAATGAAAGCGGACTGAAACGTCACATCACAATGATTTACCTGTGATTTACGTATCCGCATGTCAGCAGACACCCTCTCCTGCTCCTCAGACTCCAGATTCCTCTCGATGGCTGGGGAGAAATCCAAACCAATGATTTAATATTCAGCTCCAAACCAAGAGCAAATAACATACAGTAGTGGTTCAAAATGTGTTTTGTGGGATAGTGGCAGGCGGACTCACTCTTGAGTTTGTTTCTTGCATTGTTGGCCATCTTCTTTATGTCATTGGTGATTGCTTCCAAGTCATCCTGTGTTTCTGAGAAGACAGACACATGGGAATAAACAAACAAAAAAAAACAACAACCTGATATCTCAAATCAAGACATCATTTTATACAAGCAGAGAAAGATGTGCCTTCCTAAACGTGCAGCTGCTTTAAATGACAGGTTTCAAAGTGATGCTTTAAGACTATGGTATGTTTGTGACTGGGTAAAACAATGCTTAGCATAAAGTTCCACTTTTTAAGGAAACCTCATCAGTGGAGTTTTACGTTTCTCTATGTAGGTCAGTCAGTCATGATATAAAAGCAGGAAGTGATTAAGCATCTTACTCTGATCTGATGTGGGAGCAGACAGGATGATGGAGTAAAGCTTTTTGACTTCAGCGACATTCTCGTCAATTTTATCAATACTGTTCCTGATGTCCTCGATCTGAAACAAATACACAAAACATACACCTCATGTGTTAAAAAAAAACAAAAACAAACAGCAATCACTCATATTGTGGAGTGTATTCCCTCGTGAAAGACGAGTGCCGCAATGCACCGATCGTGGCCGCTGACCTGAGAGAAGAACTCGTCCATGAAGGCAGCGTTGTCCACAGCGATCTCCACCTCGTCGTCATCTTGATCACACGTCTAACAGGACGAAAGCAAAGGCTGCGTCAAAGGAGCATGAGCAGGTCAAGCTATACTCAGTGGTCATGTGAAGAGTGTTAAATGTTCTTATAACGCTCATCAAAACATCAGGATTCAAAAATCATTCAGATGTTAATGGGGTTCATCTGGTCAAAAAAACAAACACCTCTTCTGTAAGACTTCTGTAAGTCTGTAAGTGTAATATGTTATTTGTCTCTTGATGCTTTGTGAATGCTCTCTTTCCTCCATAAGGATCGGTCATATTTAAGTTTTGAAACTGGAGGTCGCATGAAACCTTAGACTCAGTAGAGATACCACAGTAATACCTTTCTTCAGTGTGTGAATTGAAGGCTAGCATTGTGTTGGGAAACAAAGACATTACAAATGAAGACACATTTTCTACATGTGGTAGGAAGTAGGGGTGGAAATCACGATCCGATATTATTGCGATACTCGAGACACGATTTTGATTCATTTTGCGATATGCTGAGAATTGCTTTTTAAACGCATTTTATGTCCACTACACTAAACTAAATCAAGAACTGTTTAGTCAAATAAGATAAAATTCTCAGTCTGTTCATCTCACTTCAGTCTTTTTATTTGTATTTCAGTCTAATCCAACTTGAACATGAATTCTTAACAATGCAACTTGTTCGAAATGAATTGTACAAACCCCTTAAGCAGTTAAAAATTGAAAAAGCATATTAAAAATATCGATACTTGGCCGCCATACTATACTGTATCGATGTTTTACCCCACCTCTAGTAGGAAGACTTCCTGGAGTCTCTGTCATCATTGTACGGTCGTAAGGAACCTCATACTCAAGTTCTACCTGTGAAAGCACAACCTTTAGTTTTTACTTGATCCTTTTTGGTAAAACAAACAAGAAATGGTGTTCATGAGAAGCTCTAAAGGTGCTGGTGGAACTTGTTACCTGTGGACACAGTTACCTATGTCACCTATGGCTATTTGTTTCCACACAGTGTTCATTCTTTAAGCCAACATGTGCTCTCCAGCAGGGCTTTGTATTTATCGAACAGACACGAGGGTCAAAGACGAGACAGATTGTTGACTTAGTGGACCAATCAGAGAGCCAACAAAGGGTTAATTGATTTATTGCAGTACAGTGATACTCATGATAACTGATGAGCGGCATGCTTCACATACACATATTCTCATGCATGCACACACACACACACACACACACACAAACAACGCACTGTTCCGCCCTGCCGGCTCAGACGTTACATTGCAGACGAGTCGTAAAGTCGAGTATCCCGCCATGACTGGAAATATGTAAGGACAATGAACCAGCAACAAAGTAAGTCAAAGTTACAGTGACTTTTATCTTTTAATCACAAATGTCAATATTAGCCATCAATTAGATCATTGTGTCACATGAGCCAGGATGACGATATATTGCTATAATGATTTATTGTCTCACCTGCATCTGTAACCGAGTGGAAATGAACAAACACAAATCTCCTCGTGGATATCAGCATAGTGTGTCATATGATACGAGTCTGTGATATCGGCTCAGTCCACACCCATTACATTTCCATCAGGAAGCTTCACAGCTCTGAAGTCATAAGTATGTCACACGGGACACTCAGTAAACACAGCACTGTGCCTCAGGTCGGCCACAAAGACTTCAGAGCCGCCAGTGAATATTGACATGGTGAGGGATGAGGGCCAGGCACCAGGAACTCAACATGTTCCCAACTGTTTACAAGAAACCACAGCTAAAGTGCTCCGTGTGTGAACAGACATCACAGGGCCGTGCTGTGACGGTATTCTGAGAAACTTTGTTCCCTCCTTTTTTTTAATCACTTCTGCAATTCACTGACGAACTCAAGTCTGTACATCAAGCACCTGAGGAGTGAAGCCAGAAGACTTAACAAATGTCAGGTCAACACACCTGCAACAGACCTGCTTCTTCTGATCACCTGACACTGCCTCTTTCTCTGAACCAGAAGTCTCAATTCACATCTTCATCACAGTTCTTTTACAAGAGCTCTGTGAAGCTCCCAAATAGAGTTACATTGTTTTCTGGTGTATTGTTGGGTTATTTTAATTCAGTTTTTTTTTTTTTTTTGGTTTGTTAATGTCTAAGCTGCTAGAATAAATCCATTAATCGAGTAGACATTTTTCTGAATATTTATCCCCATACAATTGATCATTGATTAATGGAGTGAGTCTGACTGTTATCAAGTAAAACTGATAAACATTTGGCTGTTCCAGTATATCAAATAAGACTTTTTTTTGCCTTAATTGGAAACATTTGGTAGTAACAGGATTTTTTCCTGGTACACAGAGCCAGAATTATTCATTACCTTGAGATGAAAAAATATGAGTGTTTGCATATATTTTCTTGTCAAAGTTGATAATATGAAACATAAGTGTCTGCCCTACTGAGGAAGGACATCTTCTGCAATGTCACTAAGGTGTTTTAAATGTTATATCTACCTTCTTCTCTCTCATCTGAAATTTGAATTGCAAATGTAGTCAAGACTAGTTCAGTAACTAACAACAGGTTTGAAAACAGAGTTCCCTGCAAACACCGACACATTGCTTGTTACTTTATATACCTCTGTGAATAATTCACTGAACACACAGCTGTATCACTCCGGTCTGCATGTTTTGTTCCCTCTCAGAGCACTTCTGAAGCAGCGAGATAAGAACAGGCGCTCACTTCCTTCCAGTGTGTCATATTCAGCAAAAAATGGGGGGGGGGGGGGGGCGGCAAGGGACTGATGGGAGTAACAGACAGACTAACGGCCAAACACACACACACACACCACAACACACACACACACACACACACACACACACACACACACACACACACACACACACACACACACACACACACACACACACACACACACACACACACACACACACACACACACACACACACACACACACACACACACACACACACACACACAGTCGGAGGGAATCTTTTTACAAAAGTATTTTTCAAGTATTCTGCAGCCTTTTTCTTCATGACGGTCCACTCATAAGAAAACATGCATTCATACTCTCAAACCATTGTTTCATAAATAATTAAGGTATTGACTGCTTAATGTTGACTGGCAGAGAACACCTTGAAGCAGCAATTTATATTTCCTCTTTCTTTTTTTTTTTTTTAAACCTAAATCAAAAAATGAAATAGTTATCCCATACTACAGGAAGATTGTAAATCTAAGATTACACACCAGAGAACAGCTGGACATCGACATTACTAAATAACAGCACACACGCTGGACATTGGTACACATCGGATTGATGTTAGCATGTATGCTGGTTTGTTCTCTTTATTCAAATCGACCTCTTACTCTTGCTTTGCATGCAAAGCACCACATGTCAAGTTGCATAATTCACAAGGCAAAAGCAGAGATCCTCAGCCTCTCCTATGCAGCGCACTGACTAGCTCCTTTATCACACAGTATTAGAGTCAAGTTTTAATGTGGAATACAATAGAGTGATCAAAACCACCGCTAGATAAAAAATAAAAATGCAAAGACTGAGCTAATCCTATTGGTCTCATACTTTGGCAAAAAAAAAAAAAAAAAACATCTACAAAATGAAGTACAAACAATCCAGCAAGTTTGACTCCAATCACATGGCATGCTTCACGTCGCCCTCCTCATCCATATGTTTCCAGTGACTCTTAAAGAAGGAGGTGGTTTTAGACTTTGTCTCCAGGGGTCAAAAATGACAAAACCACAGCCCACAATAAACGGTTTGCAATGGTGTATGAACACTGCAAAAAGAAGGTCGTTGAGAGTAAAACGAAGCATTTATCAAAGCTTATAGAGCTGAAACAACAGGCACATATTTTGAAGGACTTAAGTGTTTTCCTTGCCATATGACTCAATGTTAATAAACTGGAAGGACACAACAAGGGGCTATCCATCAAATAAACTGAATTTCTCACATCGCCTTTTGGCTGAGGTATGTCTTCATGCACTACATTTTCCCACAGCATGTTTTAGAAAATTAGCAGACACCAGCAGGGTGCAGACCTGGGGGTCAGATTTTACAGCAACATGCTGACAGAAGCCAAATACGCCCATCACGACTTGTGTTAATGCAATTCTAAAATCTGACAAGGGATTTAAAAAAAAAAACTCCATATGCCAGTGCACACAGATGAAGCCACAGTAGCTCTGTTACACTTTTCTACAAGCTAATACCTGAGCTATTCAGACAGGTGATGGACAGCATGAAAGATTAAAGACTGAAATCAAACAGAAAGCCTCAACACCCACCCTCAAAAACACACACAAACTAACGTACAGTCTAGATCTCTGCCAGATAGTTAAACATTTGATAGGAAACCTTAAGGAAGACAATAAAGGAGACGTGAGCGTGGATTAAAGAGGTAAAGAAGGAGGACTTTCAAATGTAGAAGGAGGCAAACAGGACAAGAAAATCTAGTTTTGACAGGTGTTTACATGTGCACCATCAACTTCCCAACAAATGACTGGCCACCCTCAGTGTCATTTTGTAGGCCTACTTCCTTTCCCTGCAAAGAAACCAGCTATGTGAGATACAGACGCCTAGAGGGAAAGCCTACTGCAGTTCAGCAACTTTAAACACAGCAAATATTTGTGCCAGCAGTTTCAGGGAGCTATGGCAACACATCTTGACTCAGGTTTCAACCAGAGACTGTAACTTTTCAACTGAATCAAAGCGTTACCCCAGCTCAGGTTTTCACTTTTAACAGTAATATGAGTAATCGACTTTCTTATCGTGGTAAACGATTTGTGATCACACGGTTGAGTCCAAGTGCAAAACGTGAGAGAGGATTATGGGTGGAAATATCCAAGACGAGGATACTGAACCTTTTTTTTTTTTTTACAATTAGTATACTTTCAGTGAGACTTCATGTGTTTATACTACTACTAAGGAACAATATTTGTATCTACAAAAAATCCAACTGAATCTTTATTTATAAATTTATATCAAATTCATACAAACTGTAAAGTCAGTGAAATTGAAAACAGAATCCATCATGTTTAAATGTCACACTGAGGGAAGCCCAAAATACATCATATTGAACTAATCCAAAACCTTATTAAAAGGCGACTCTTTTTAAATATTAATATCAAAACTGTTAATTTAATAGGGTTAATAATCACACATTTATTTTTGCTGCATTACAGAAGGCCTACATCTCTGACACTGTAAAGAAAAAGGTGACTGATGTCTGAATCACTTTGACCTTACGCCCCCATTTTTAATCATTTTCTAACCTTCTGTGCAGACACCTCCATCAAATCATCACATGATACACCAGTGGTTTGATTAATAGGCTGTGTTACGTCTCAGGTATTAAAACGTGTTTTAATTCTCATAATCTTTCATGTATTCCTCTGAAAATGTTTTTAAAGGGCATTAACTGGGTCCATTGAGACCATATTTCACATTTCCTGTAGACTACTTACCGCTTTAAGTTGCTCCAATCGGTCCTTCATCTTTACACTGTTAGTTTTGCACCTTTGGACCAAGACAGATCACTACAATAATGTGCAAAATAGCTTTTTTAAATTAAAAAAAACCCCAGTCCCAATCTCTGAAGTCCTCAGCCAGCTGGCAGGCTCGCTGTCCGGTAGAAACAAACAGCCAGTAAAAAAGAAAAAGAAATTAACTTCCCAAAAGTCCTGACAGAGATGTCCGAGAAAACGACTTTTTATGAAATAGATGAGTCTTTCCGTCGTTTTTTCCATGCAATATGGCTGCTGGGTTTAAAACCAGTGTTTTTTCTTTGCTAAATCTCCTCGCCCGGGGGATTAAAACAACAGTTGTGTAGAGCTGTATAATCTGTCTCTCCGCTGGCCACCAGTAATCATTCTAAAACGCACTTTTCTGCCTCACGCATGCGCAGAAAAGTCCTTCTCCATTGAGACGAAGCCACGCCTGTGCCACCTGCACCAGTGATGCATTCAGGTGTTTGTAGGAATAACAACTATTTGAATACTAAACTGAATCGAGCAACTTTGAGAGTGACCTGCCAATGCACCGGATCAATGTGGTGCCAATAATCATACACTGCAGCTGAAATCCATAATAACTTATGTAGGCCTTACTATAAACAGTCATTTAAAAAATACTATTAACAACTGGACATTTGAAATAGAAATACCGATGCACAATTATTTGCAAAAGTGACATCACAAGTACACTTTTTACTATTGAGAATTTGAGAAATGCTAATATTGATATCTGAAATAGTATTAGTAATAGGTAGGTGTTTACTTCAAATGTTAAAACGGCTTGCCATGGGGACTTTAGTGACTCCACATATTTCCAAATTCCATTCTGACGAGTAAAAAAAGTATTTTAACCAGGAAAAATATGCTCATGCATATCTAAAATAGCCTATAATAGTTAATATTAAATGATCTATATCATGTAAATAAAACAGATATCCACATATACTGTATTTACAATACTTTTTTGGATATCTGAAATTGAAGTTTTTAAGTCATGAATCCTATTTTAGACATGGAAAATGTCCTTTGCCTGATAGGTAAGTGTGACAGCTAGTCACCATGTATTTTGTATTTTCTAAATTAGGCTACATTATGTATGGATGGCCTTTTTTTATCTTCCTAATTTAGAATAGAATTAAAGGATGACTAGTAACAATTGGATTGTAGATGTCTGAAATTGAAGATTTTCCTGTTCTAAAGCAGATATTTGACAATGTTCATTCTGGACAGAAAGAATGCCTTTGTGGATATCTGAAATTGAAACCCCAATGCACATGCCTGTCAAATTGACAGATAGTCAATGAGCTATTAAAAAGCTAAAATTATACAGAATTTAGCCCCAATCGGATCATTTCAAGTGATAATTCTAATTGTAGAGCTAGATAACTAAAATTGAACTTGCCCTGGTCATAATGCAATATATTGATACCCATTAACACGTTTTGACTAGTCACCATGTCATTTTACATATTCAATATATTATATTATTGTTTTCATTCTGCACATTTAAATTGGCTATGACTAGCATTTATATTGTAGAAATATGAAGAAACATATGAATATGAATTATTTCAGATGTTTATCATGCTCATTTCAATTTGGAAGAATTTAACAAATATCTGCATATCCCCTTGTTGAAACTACTTAACATAAGTTTACAAACTAGTAGAAACACGTCACAAGGAATGTGCAACATAAAACTGTTACGTAATGTTGTTGCCAACGGCTAAAGCAATTAGAATAGAAGAACATGGCTGACATCTGGTGGTAAACAGCAAGATGAACATACGTGTGTTGATACTTGCGTTGTATCCGTCTCTGCCATCTACCAAGAACAATGGTGCAAGGCAAACTACACACTCATTTTATTCCAGTTCACAAGGTGTGCAAATTAGTGTCGTTTGGCAATGAAGCATTTTTTGTTTTTGGCCTGTTTAATATGAAACAAGGCCCCATTAGAGCATAGAAGACAGCAATTGAGATATGTTATTGGCACAGACATAAATAGTCCTAAACATAAACAAAAGCTAAGAAAGACACAGGACATGAGCCCCTGATTTCAGGGTATGTACTGTAATCTACAGACGAAGGCCTATTTAAAGCATTTATCAACCGACATCAGTGGATTTATTTTTTAGGAGGATAGTCAGAAATTGTGTAGAAAGACAGAGGGGGGCATAACATGCAGGAAACAAGCCACAGGCCCCAAAGGATTTTTTAAAGCATTAAAAAAAACAAAAAACAGACATTTTAAATTGAGAATGTTTTTATTCAAAGTTTTCTTCACTTAGTGCCTCCATTACACCATACAACAGCATTATGTGAGCTGGGTAAGTGCAGTGGTGGTTGCTTGACGATGAAGAGTAGCACATTGCCGTGCCAACGACAACACTAGGGTGGGTGCGTCTTTAACAGTGAAATTAGAACAACAACCATTTCACCAAGTTTTTCTTAGCTTTAAAACAGAAAAAAATGTCAAATAAAAAATCTGAAAAGGGATTTTACAGTAAGGGGGAAAATTCCAACAGCTTCCTGTCCACGGTGTAGAGGGATAGAGGGACAATGCAAGTAACAGGTTAAAGGTCATCTTCTTCATCAGGGAGTGCGGTTTGTGATGCAACCTATAAGAATAACAAAACAAAAAAAAAGAATCATGTCTGTCCCAATGCAAATTGATACCCCGATAACTGTAAAAAAAATGACACCTTCATTGTCATACTCACTTGAAGTTCTTCCTCATATCTTGCTGCAAGAACGGGGTCCATTTGGACCTCTGGGGGAGCAAGTGCGGGCATAGCCACAAACTCCAGATTAGGATCGCCAACCAACTTCCTTGCTAGCCACAGGAAAGGCTTCTCAAAGTTGTAGTTACTCTTTGCAGAAATGTCATAGTACTGGGGAAAGCGCAGTAAAACAGGAATTAGAGATTCAGACTTAAATCAATGCTTTCTATAACTTGGAAACAGAGCAGTTGTTACCTGCAGGTTCTTTTTGCGGTGAAACACAATGCTCTTGGCTTTGACTTTTCTGTCTTTGATGTCAACTTTGTTTCCGCAAAGGACAATGGGAATGTTCTCACAGACACGGACCAGGTCACGATGCCAGTTTGGTACGTTCTTATAGGTGACTCTTGAGGTGACGTCAAACATGATGATAGCACACTGAGCTGTAGGGGCAGGAGTAAAGATTTAACACTTTTAAAAAAAAAGGTAGAAGATTAAAAATGTTTATAGCATGCAATCAGACTTAAGGTTTAAAAAAAAAAAAAAAAAAAAAAGAATAGCATGTTCATTATTTTGAATTGCACCTTGAATGTAGTAGCCATCTCTCAGCCCTCCGAACTTCTCCTGTCCGGCTGTGTCCCAAACATTGTACTTGACCGCTCCTCTGTTGGTATGGAAAATCAGCGGGTGCACCTCTACACCAAGAGTAGCTGAAAGTACAAAGACAATTTGTGTAACAGCTGGAGATACAGTAGATGATGGATGATTTATTGATAGGAACAAAGGTCAAGGGACATAGATGTTTAAAGAAAGAAGATATTGCCGATAATCCCACTGCATTTATTATAATGAGTTATCTCCTTTGTTTTTTCTTTTGAAATGATCTCATTTAAGGGCAACAAATACATCCTGGTGGATGAACAAAACCTAAAACACAAAAAGTAAATGCAGCATTTAGTTTATGCCAAACTATTACTGGATTTTCTTTAGGTGGAAGAAACTGACATTTTGAGTGGGGGGGAATATGCATCTCAAAACATGATTTAAAAAAATAAAATAGATAAATTGATGTTGTCTTTGGTTTCAGTCATTGAAGCTCAGGTGTATAAGCATCTTATGTAGAATTTCAGTAAAAAGTTGATCACCCAAAAAAAAAGGTAAATAAAAATATATATATAACTTCACATTAACTTCTACAAAGTATAAACCCCTAGTTTGGCCTTTTAGTAATTTTTTTTTTTACTTGTTAAAAATTCAAGGGCTTGATGGTGATGTGATGAATACATCACTACCAATACACAGAGATGGGCAGGTAAGTAAGTTTACTCAGCTCTGGCACAGCTCATGTACAATTTAACTTAACATGTGATTATGGTAGATGTACTTCATTACACATCATACCCATGAGTCAGTCATTCCTACAGAGATACTCACCAACATATTTCTTCTCAAACTCTCCTGTGATGTGCCTCTTCACAAAAGTCGTCTTCCCGGTGCCTCCATCTCCAACTAACACCAGCTGAAAGAAAACACCAGTTAGTTTGAACTGGTTGATACTGGTTCAAAAAATAAAAAAACACACACACACACCAACCGTTAGCACGATTTAGCGCCAGTAATACAAAATCTAAAAGACTCCGCGGTTACTATGACGACACATTTCTTGATTTAAAACACACACACACATTAAATGCATACCTTGAACTGTGCCACCCACGTTTGTTCGGTCATGATTCACCTGCGTCGGAAAGAACGAGACAGAATGGTTAGCATAGCAACACAAAGCATCAGCCACTACAAGACAACAGATCAACCAAAAAAAAAAAGCAGCCCTGACTTTGAATCACCGGAAAAGGTTCAGTAGAAAAAACGGATCAACTACGATGTTCGGATTCTAGAATCCACGTTCTAGAATTTTCTACCAAAGCGAGCGTTCGAAAGCCCCCTTTGGTGCTAGCATCAGTGCGTTGTCCCCCCTCCTGGACGAACGATCACACTGTATGTGGCACCACCTAATGATGAGATCGTCGTTTATTGATAAGCGTGCAGTCCTGAGCAAAACCGACTGCTAGCTATTAACGTAAGTAACGTAAGTGCGCCATACTCCGGAGCGACCGCACTTTTCCAGTCTCCTGCAACAAACAGAACATTTGAAGAATGTGTTCCGCGATGCAGTGAAAAAAAAAACAAAAGCTGCTTCTTAAGGAATCAAGTCGACTGCACGTGTTTTCACATTCTTTTTAAAAAACAACAACTCATTCCTCTTGTGAGTAAAAAAAAAAATAACAGCTAATCACGAGAACAAAGCAGTGGAAGGAGGGAGAGCCGTGCTTGCTAACCTGTTAGCTAACGCGGCATGGACGCAACTCTCCGCGTAAGAGCTAGCGGCTAAAGCTAGCTAGGGTGGTTAGCACAGAGAAATCACAGGCCTTGATCCAAGTTGTTCAACCTGCTCGTTTGTTACTCTTGAACCACCGCTTGTAGTTTTAAGTATACCTCAATGCTGCGTCTTATTTTCCAGGATTGCCCCGAAAAGCAAGAACTTATAAAAAATAAAAAATAAAAACAGGATGTCCCGCTGAGAGAGAATAATAAAGAGACTCACCGGTGTTGCTGCGACGAGAGGGAAGAAGTAAATGGCTGCGTTCGCGGGAGATTCAGCGTGGCCTATGAGTCAGTTTCCGCCCTTATCACGTGATCACCGCAGCGGTAAAAATGCAATTTATGTCATTGCATTCACTAAGGCCTGCATAGGACATGATTCAGCATGTGTGCATAACACCAAAAAAACACTATTAGAAACACAAAATGTCCATTATTACACAATCACGCTACTCTTAAGTGCTCAAGTATAATTTTATACCATCACTGTATTTGTACGATGTATTAAAATAGAGCAAATGCACTACCTTCCCCCCCCCTTATAATGTATCTCAGAAAATTGAGTCATTATGGGGATTATTTATCACAAATATGCAGATTATTTTTTGGACAGATACATTAATTCTGGATATTTATCACAACAGAAAATCGTGAAAAATCATCAGAGGCCATCTTGAGTTTAAACATACAAGAAAATCATCAGTTTTGCTTGATAAATGTGTTAATTCAATTCAATTCAATTTATTTTTGTATAGCATCAACTCATAACAAGTGTTATCTCAAGACACTTTACAAAAAGCAGGTAAAATACCTTACTCTTTGTCTGTTAACATTACGAAAGAGCAGGTAAAAAGACCTTACTCATTGTTATGTTACACAAAGCAGGTAAAAGACCTTACTTATTGCTATGTTATAAAGATCCGGCCTATCCATCATGAGCACTTTAGCAAAGCAGCAAAAGTTACAGTGGTAAGAAAAAACTGCCTTATTAAAAGGCAGAAATCTTCGGGCCAGCTTGGAAAGGGATAGGGGGAGAGATGGGATAAGATGCAGGAAGAGGGATAGGGAGCAAGGGGGTGGGGGAGGCAAACCGTCCATCAACAATCTGGTGGGGAGGGGGGGTTGTTCTGGCAGGCCGTCAACCAACGATCTTGAGGAGCCTAAGAGAGCTCAAGAGCTCTCAGGAAAGTAGGTGGTTGGTGACTGAGATTTACAGATAGATACATGCAGTAATATGATGTACTGTATATGCACAGAGAGCGAGAGAGAGAGAGAGAGGAGCTCAAGGTGCCAGTTCCCCCGGTAGTCTAAGCCTATAGCAGCATAACTAAGAGCTTGGCTACACCAGCACTAACTATAAGATTTATCAAAAAGGAAAGTTTTAAGTCTATTCTTAAAAATACAGACTGTGTCTGCCTCCCGGACCCCGGCTGGAAGGCGGTTCCAGAGGAGAGGAGCCCGATAACTGAAGGCTTTACCCCCCATAGTACACTTAGAGACTGTAGGTACCACCAGCAGGCCTGCACTCCGGGACCGCAACGCTCTCGAGGGACAGTACGGCACTAGTAGCTCCTTAAGATAAGATGGTGCCTGGCCATTTAGAGCTTTGTAAGTGAGAAGAAGGATCTTGAATTCTATTCTAGACTGTATAAGGAGCCAGTGCAGAGAAGCCAAGACAGGAGTAATGTGGTCCCTTTTCCTGGTTCTGGTCAGTACACGAGCTGCAGTGTTCTGGACCAGTTGAAGAGTCTTTAGAGACTTGCCAGAGCACCCTGACAAAAGAGAGTTACAATAATCCAATCTGGAGGTAACAAATGCATGAACTAGTTTTTCTGCATCATTTTGCGACAGGTTATTCCTGATCTTGGATATATTACGAAGGTGAAAATAGGCTGTTCTTGAAACTTGCCTGATGTGAGAGCTAAAAGACATATCTTGATCAAAAAGAACTCCTAGATTCCTAACAGTGGTGCTAGATGCCAGGCTGATGTCACTAAGGACAGTCAAATCACTAGAAAAAGTCTCTCTGAGGTTCTTAGCACAATAACTAGGTTAGAAGCTGAATTCTCAATTTTTTTGAAAAAGTCTTGAATTAAGCAACTTGTTTACAACATTTAAACTTCACAAGCAATGCAACAAGATTGAACTTTGAAGGTTTGAAAACATCATTTATTATAGTATTTTAGAAGCCTTTGCAACATTACATGTGAATATTCATTGATTGCCTAACCGCTATATTGAGGCATAACAGG